AAGAAAGAGAGGGAAGCCAGACCCCCTCCCATTTGGTGGTGCCGGGGAGCCAGAGGAGGCCGTGTCTGCACCCCGCATCTTGATCTGACTCACCTCTCCACTTCTGGCCTCACCTCTCTTATCAGAGTCCTGAGTGGCGGGAGGAGCCGGGTGTGTTGTAATGGGGGGCAACCTCTCGGGTCATCTTGGTCTCCTTATCTCTCACAGCCCCCACTTCTGCCTGAGGAGCTGGTTCCTCCGATGGCATCTCTAGTTCCTCTTTGTCCCCTGAGGTCCCCTGCCCCTGCCTTCTGCCTCTCGCCCGTGCTCCGTGCTCTCCACACCTGGAGCTGTGCACCTGCCCTGTGGGGCATCACCCAGAGCTGGTTGGAATGCCCCCCCAGGCCTGTGCATCAGAATCCGCATCTCAACTCCACCTCCAGAGCATCGGGGTGCACGCTGCCGTGGAGAAGGGGCCAGCTCAGGCTCAGCTGGACGATGGTGGGCAGTCCTGTGGGTGGGGTCCACTCTGGACTCCTCATCATCCCTGATCCCATCCGTCCCCCACGTCCACCTAGACCACCCACAGCGCTGCTGTGGGTCCCAGACCGAGGGGTCTTTGCATTTCCAACACCACACATTTCGGAATTGCCTGAATTCTTGAGATGTGGAGGAGGGAGGTGGAGAAAGGGTCTGGTCCTTCCTTTGGGGGGAGAGCTGCTTTCGTCTCCAAGTGGGACTGGTCGGCCACCTAGATTCATGATCTGAGGACAGTGGGCGAATGTAGGAGTGTCCTGGGGCAGCCATAACAAAGGACCCCCAACCAGGGGCTTAAACCACAGGAATTCACCCTCCCCCAGTGCTGGAGACCAGACGTCTGAGATGAAGGGGTCACAAGGCTGCGCTCCCTCCACAGGCTCCAGGGGAGGGTCCTTCCTGCCTCTTCCAGCTTCTGGGGCTCCAGGCGTCCCTGGGCTGGTGGCCGCCTCCCTCCATCTCTGCCTCCGTCTCCACGTGGCTGCGTTCTCCTTGTGGGTCTCTAGGTCCCCCTGATCATCTTCTTATAAGAACCCTGGTCCTGCTGGACCCGTCAACCACCCACTTCCAGTGCGAGTCTGTCTTCTCTCAATCAAGGACGCCTTTGATGTCCCTGTTTCCGGATAAATTTGCCTGCTGAGATCGCAGGTGGACATACATCTGGGGGGATGAGGGGAGACACAATTCAACCCATAAAGGAGCCAGCCTCGGGGGAGAAGGCTGCAGGGAAGGGGGGATGGGGCTTGAACTTGGGAGCGATGACCAGACGGACCGCAGAGGTGGCCGCTGTACATGAGGACCAGGGATGGCCAGGAGGGTCTGAGCGAGGGGACGTGATGGATTTCAGCTGCAAAGGAAACCAGGGGGCCCTTGGCACATGCCACACGAAGATGGGCCTTGACCCCGTAAGCCCTGAGCAGCTACGGAATTGGGGACACAGGGTCACCTTCCTGCCCGGGAGGGCGGCAGGGGTCTTTCCGTTGGGACCGCAGGAGGAAGACGGCCCGGGGGCCATTCACACTCCTGGGGTTAATTCACCGCCTCAGGAAATTGCCCAAGCAGGGTGAATGGTGAGCAGCGCTTAGGACGATGACAAAGAGGAACGGGCAGAGAAAAATGAGAATAGAAAAGCACACTTTTGAGAAAAAGCACGCTGGTTCCAGGGAGAGCCTGTAGCTGTTCCCGTTCTGCTGACCCCAAAGTTTAAGCCACAGACAGAAACAGACGGAGGGAGGGGGGGCGGGGGTCTCTGGCCGGGTCACATGCCCCACCCTCATTGGGTGGGATTTTCAGGGGTGGGGCCCCACCCGGAGACTATAAAAAAGCTGAATCAATCGGGAGAAAGGAAGCTTCGGTTTCTCTTTGGGGAGCCGTCCTCCAGCACAGCTGAGAAAATACGGGGGAAGGGGGAGCCCGGAGGAAGGACTTCCAGGACGGCTGGGCGAGCGCCAGGAGGGGGCTGCCTCCGTCCCCTGGACTTTGCTCTGCGTCCCAGGTGAGACCCCGCTCCGTCTCAGGGCAGGACGAGGGAGAGAAGGCAGGCGGCAGGGGCTGCAGCCCCGGGGGACCCCCAGCATCTGAATACGGCGGGTTCCCCTGAGATACGGGGTTCGTGGGCAACGCACCCCAGATTCAGCATGAGGATGCTGCGTATCTCGCTAAGAATTGTGACAGTGATGTAATCAGTGTTACAGGCTGAAATGGGAACGGGCTGCTGTGTTCAGTTAAAGAGATGTAGCAAGAAAATGTATTTTTGACACTTTTTCACCTTTTTTGAAGTGGCCACTGGAAAATGTAAACATGCAAATGAGGCTATAGGGCTGTTTCTGTTGGGGGGCGCTGGACCAGGCTGGGCAGTGGGCTTGTTCCTGACGTCCAGTGCAGCCTGCCTGGGAGCTGCTTGGGGGCTGGGTCCCCAGGGTCCGTGGTCCTCAAAGCCCTCGTGGGACTCAGTTGGCCATGAAGGGCTTGTGAAACAGACATCCTGCATGGCACCACGATTCACGGTCGCCAAGAGGTGGACACAGCCATCGGTGGATGAACGGACAGACAGAACATGGTCCCCCACGCAGTGGAATATTACTCAGCCATGAACAGGAGTGAAGCACTGACACGGCTACAACCTGGATGGACCTTGAACACGTGATGCTCAGTGAGAGAAACAAACACGAAAGGCCACAGAGTGTGTGATCCCATTTATATGAAATGTCCAGAATAGGGAAATTAGTGTTTGCCAGGGGCTGGGGGACGGAGATGGGGAGTCGCTGCTGATGGTGACAAGGTCTCCTTTTGGGGTGATGAGAATGTGCCAGAACCAGATAGAGGCGATGGTTGCACAACCCTGTGGATGTGCTAAATGCCGCCGAATCGTGCCTTTTAAAAGGGTGAGTTTTATGGGATGTGAATTTCACCTCGACAAAAATATTAATAAATAAACATTTAAAAACGCAGCTCCCTGGGCCTCCCCTCAAGATTGCTGCCCGGACTGAGGTCCTAAGCGATGATGTTGATGGGGGTGCCGAGGACTGCATTTGGGGCAGCCCCGTGACAGGGCACTCACCCCCTGGCTCCCCCAGGGTGGGGGCTCCAGACCCCTGACATTCACCTGGTCATGAGCGCCCACCCCGTCTGAGTCTCTGGCAGGACTTTTGATTCTTCGTGACCCGCTAGCCGCAGCATCCTCCACTGTCACTGGCGGAGAGACGGGCTCACGTCCCCTCCCCCGAGGCAGCAGGGTCCTGAGCCCCGTTCCCCCTTATCTGGCCCCTTATGCGCTGACCCCAGTCCCATGCTCACGTCTGGGGGCTGAGTTTTCTCCAGGCCGGCCCCTTCCCTTCATAATTTGGGGAACAGCCAGCTACGACGACGTGGTTAGTGCAATTTGGCTCTTTAAGGGATGTGAACATCTTCGAGAGGGGAAAGATGCCTTATGGGGTCAGCGTCACTACGCTGGACCCCCTCTGTGTATGTGGGGGCTTGACTCACCGGAGCAGACAGGAACCGATGCCCACTGCCCCCGGGACACAGTGGGGCTGCTGGACCTGTCTTCATTAAGTAAGGTGAGTCCCAGGCCATCTTGTCATGTATTTGTTTAAAATTCTGATCTTTTCCTCATCATGCATTTATCACTTTGAACTTTTGTAAATGTTGCGCTAAAATGTTATTTATCGTGACGATGGGTTGGGGGCACCCCCTTCAACTTTGTGCCCAATGCCTCGCTCTCCTCACCCTAGTCCCTGCATTACAAATGGATTATGAGATATCTGTCCCTGGATGGGTCCCGAGGGACAGGCAATTCTGGGTCTTCCCCATCCCCGTCTCCTGGACGGGGGTCTCTCGGCCTGCCCCCGGGCTCAGCGGGAAGCACTGTGCGTATCAGCATCTTCTGCCAGATTTGTGCAAAAGTTGGCACCTGTTGGAGACCATTCTCGGTCCCAGTGTTGAGACGCAAAATCTGGGAGCCTCAGGACTGGGTGGGGAGAGCAGGTGAGACCCCCGATGGAGTCCGGGTTGGGTCCCACGATGGGGGACAGGAAGGCCCAGAACGAGGTGGGGAGAGTCCGTGGCCCCGATCTTCCATCCCAGCCAAGTTTCTCCAGGTGGAGTGGCCTGGAGGGGGTGCATTTTGTGCACAGAGAGCCTGACCCCTGGTGAAGGGGGTGGCCCCCATGGCAGGCGAGGGTCTGAGGCTCTGCTGTGGGGTCGTCTACTTGTGTGGCAGCCACCAGTCGGCCCCCACGGCGCTCGCGACATTTACAAAAGAAGCATCAGGGTGGGGAGGAATGAGGGTCCACCAGGAGACCCTGATGCTGACGGCCGGGGTGGGTGCAGAAGACCGGCCAGCTGGGTGAGGGTCCGGGAGGGCCAGCCTGCATGGGGGCTTCATGGGGACCCTGGGAAACACTCCCGGCTGGGACGCTGGCACAGCCCAGCGTTCAGTTCCTGTAACTCGGTCCGTTCAGGAAATTTGGTCTGCGTCGATTTCAGACTTTTAATTAAACTTCCTTCCACGGCTTTGTGATCAAAGTGTTTCCTGGCACTCGGGTGGCGTGTGCTTTCCCGGTCTCTGGATGAGGCTGGAGCCAAGAGCGTGTTCAAACCCCGGGGCGGGGGCTGACATATACACACAGATGCACACACGTGCACACACACACAGGCAGGCACATGCACACAGACGTGCACAAGACACGTGCGCACGCACACACGTATTTGCACACACAGGCATATAAACACACAGGCATGCACACGTGTACACACATGGATATGCACACACGTACACACACGCATCTGTACATGTGTGCACACACAACCGCATGCACACATGCACACGCACGGGAGACTTTCCTCCTAGACGTCCTGGAATGTTGTTCCCTAAGGGCTCAACAGCCTCCCCGCCTCCCTCCTCCACCCCAGAACCACACCCCGAGGTAATGCTCTCTTCTCTTCCAGCACACGCCCTCCCTCCCCAGGGACCTGCCTTCTCCATGGCTTTCCTCTGGCTGGCCGTGTTTCTGATGCCCGTCTCCTGCCTGCTGCACACGGACCAGGGTAGGCACCCGGGGAAAGCCACGTGCGTGAGGTTTGCGGGTCTGTCGGGTGTTGTTTTTCAGATACACTGTTTACTGTGAGATGGCTGTAGATTCACACGCAGCCGTAACATGTAATTCAGGGAAGAGGATCATCTTGCAAAACTGATACAATGTCACAGCCGGAATCTTGAGGTTGATACTCTCAAGATGCCGGGTCTTTGGATGTAGCTTGGGCGCCAGGACCGATCGCTTGCCTTCACCCAGGATTATTATTCCGGTAGGAAATTGTGTTCCACCTGTATCATCCTATTCCTGGGTGGGGTCGTTGGAAAGCCCATGGTTATGAGCTGAATTGCGTCCCCACCAAATTCATATGTTGATGTCCTAACCTTCAGAACCTAGAGATGTGAGTTACTTGGAAATAGGGTCTTTGCAGATCTGATTAAGTTCAAACAAGTTGCTTTGTTGTTTTTAAGCCCATGCAAAATCCCATTAGAACCACAGAGCGCCAAGCTCTCTCTGTGCCAGGAAATGGCATTTCGGCCCTAAGCCAGGCAGCCTGGGACGTCGACGTCACTCATCTGCAGAAACCACTGTGTTTTCGGATGACCGCGCCTCGGCCAGCCAGAGCAGCCACCTGGATGGGCAGTGTGTTCCCTCCGTGACCAAGGACGGAGGCCACAGTCTGTGCCCAGTCAGAGAAAGGTTGCAGCCTTCGGGTCCCCTTCAGGATCCATCCAATGTCCTGGGCGTCTTTACGAGTCTTGCTTTCCCTGGGGGGATAAATGCGTAGTTCAAATCTCCTAAAGGAGACATTTTTTTTTTAAACCCGAAAGGCAACATGTTTTGGGGGCAAGTCCATCCTGTTTTTCTCCCTTGCATGATGGAGATTGACAGACGGAGCCAATTAGGATTTCCTTGCTTTCCGTGAAGCTCGCAGCAGATTTAATCGTCATGACGATTTAATGAAAGATAATGAGATTCAATAGTAACACGGACTAATAAGGTGGAAAAGGATGACTAAGATCCCTGAGCGGTCCAGGCCCATTTCCGGCTGTCAGTGTCCGGCTGCCCTTGAGTGACAGCTGCGGCTGATGGACGTGGGGCAGAGAATATCCCAGGGGACGCCAGCCGGCTGCTTGAGGAGGGTCCCCGAGGTGGCAGGGACCCCGGGGAAGCTCTCGGCTCTGTGGGCACAGAGATTTGACATGAGAGGGTCCAACTGGATGATCTTCACGGCAGTCTAACCTCAGGTCCCACAATATGCAGGCGTGGACCGAGGTTCTGTAGCCCGCTCCCGAGCTACCCAGCCATCCCCAGGGTCTCAATGACTTGAGTTGCAGTAACAGTCTCGATATCTTGTAACCTTTTAGAAGTTCATTCTTTCCCCAAATCATAGTGGAATTCGGGTGTTTTGTGGGGTGGGGTGGGGTGGGGGGTGTATCAGTCTCCTGGGGCTGCTGTCTTTGTCAGCTCGGGCAGCCGTAACAAAATACCAGACTTAAATGACAGACATTTATTTCTCTCAGTCCTGGAGACCAGACGTCTGAGGTCAAGCGGTCGCAGGGCCGCGCTCCCTCCGGAGGCTCCAGGGGAGGGTCCTTCCTGCCTCTTCCAGCGTCTGGGGCTCCAGGCGTCCCTGGGCTGGTAGCCGCCTCCCTCCATCTCTGCCTCCGTCTCCACGTGGCTCCTCCTCTGTGTCTGTGTCTCCTCTTCTGTCTCTGATGACGACACTGTCACTGGATTTAGAGCCACCCTCTTCCAGGATGAGCTCATCTCCATCCTTCACTCAATCACGTCTGCAAAGAACTTGTTTGCAAACACGGTCCCATTCTGAGGTCCTGGGGGTTAGGGACCCAGCATGAATTTGAGGGGGACACAATTCAGCCCACACCCAACAACAAGAGACTCAGGAGGTCTGGGAGGGGCCCCCGTGCCCCAGGTCCCAGTATCAACTGGACTCCTCTCCCAGTGCCTGTCTTCGTCTGCCCTCCTGACCCAGGGCAGAGGATGCCGCCATGTTTGTGGTCACTTCAGGCCCGGGGGTGTTCTAGAATCACTGACCACAGGCAGGAAGTGAGTTGTTCGAGTCTTAAGGAGAAGTGGTTAGTCCTCCACCATTGAGTCTGAATTAGCTCAAGGATTGTCATAGATTTCTTTCCTCAGGGTAAGGAAGTTTTCTTCCATTCCCAGTTTCCTGTGTTTTTAATCCCAAATGGGTGTTAAATTTCTTTTCTGCTTCTGTCTCTTGATAAGATCATCAGTTTGCTGTTAATAGGGTGAATGGTATGGATGGTTAAGACAACCTTGCGTTCCTGGAATCAACCTCTCGGCTCAGGAGGTATTATTACTAGTTTTATTTATTGCTGGATTTTATTTCCCGATATTTCGTGAAGGAATTTTGTGTCTACGTTTATAAGGGATATTGGACTCTGGTTTACCTTTAACGTCTTTGTCTGATTTTGGTATCGGGATAACGCTGGACCCATAAAATGAGTCAGAAAATGTTTCCCTGCTTTTCTCTTCTGAAAGTTTGTGCACGTTGATACGATTTCTTCCTTAAATGTCTCGTAGAATTCGCCAGCAAAGTTATATGTGCTTTCTTGATGGGAAGGCTTTTCCTTACATCTTCTATCCCTTTAGTATTTATTGGGCTATTCAGATTTTGTATTTCTCACGTCAGTGTTGTTAATTTGTGTCTTTCAAGAAGTTTGTTCTTGTGCTCTGTTGTTGAATGCATTGGCATAAATTTGTTCAAACCGCCCCCTTATTAGTCTTTCAGAATCTACAGGATCTGTATCATTGTCCTTTCTTTCATTCCTAAAATTGGTCATTTTTCCCCTTTCTTTTTTTTCTTGATCAGCCCAGCTCGAGGTATTTGAATTATATTGTTTTTGCATAGAACCAGCTTTCGGTTTTCCTCACTATCTATATAGTTTTTCCATTTTCTTTTCCATTGATTTTTATTCTCTTTATTATTTTAGGGAAGCTTTTTTAGGTTTAATTTCTTTTAAGGTTACTTTCCTCTTCTTTCTCTAACTTGTTAATATGGAAAGTTAGATTACTGAATTTAAACTGTTCTTCTTTTCTGCCATAAACATGAAATCTTACGAATTTCCTTCTGAGCACTTCTATAGCTGCACCCCACTTTTTTTTGTTGTTTTCATTTTTCTTTAGTTCAAAACATTTTCTAAATTTCCTTGTGATTTCTTCTATGACCCATGTGGTAATTTAGAAATGTGTTGTTTCATTTGTATATGTTTGGTATTTTCCAGATTTTTTTTATTGATCTCAAATTTAATCCTATTGTAGTCAGAGAATATACTGTGAATGATTTAAATCTTTTAGAATGTACAAGGACTTCTTTCACATCCCAGTACGTGGTCTATTTTAATTAATCTTCCCTGTGCAACTGGTAAAAATATGCATTCTGCCCTTATGGACTATGCTGTTCCATCAATAAGGTCAAATTGATTGATATTTTTTATCAAGTCCTCTGTAGACTTACTGTTTTCTATTTATTCTATCTATTTGAGAGGGGGGTTATGCTTATGCCTTACGTGTTTTGAAGCTTTGTTATTAGGAGCATACATACTAGGATGAAGTGGCCATTTTATCATTTGGAAAGGTCCATTTTTATCCCTGGAAATACTCCTGGTCCTGAAGTTTATTTTGACTTGTATTAACATAGCAATTCCAGGTTTTATATGACTAGAGTTTCCATAAAATGTGCTTTTCTATTATTTTAAATTAAACTATATTTAAAGTACCTTTGTTGCAGACAGCATACTGTGGGGTACTTTTTTAATCGAGTCTGACAAATTTTTCTTTCCATTGGAGTGTTTAGACCATTTACATGTAATTATTAATATGGTTGGGTTTAATTCTACCATTTTGCTACTTGTTTGCTATTTTTCTCAGTTTTTCTTTGTTTTTTTTCCCCCTCTTTTCCTGACTTCTTTCCAATTAACTATTTGTTAGTGTTCAGTTTTTTTTCCTCCATTGGCTTTTTGGCTGTCCCTCTTTGTTTCACTGATTTTGTGGTTCCTTTGGGTTTAAAGTGTGCTCCATTAGTCGATCACATTCTATCTTCAAATGTTATTCTCCTTCACATTTGATGTAGGAACCTTGAAACGGTATACTTTTACTTCTCATGTCATCCTTCATGCTCTGTCACACATTTTACTTGTACACATCTTGTAAAGCCCACAATACACTGTGATTATTTTTATTTTAAACAATCACCTTGTTTAAATATTATAAATGAGGAAAAAGGTTTATATGTTTACCTACACATTTACTATTTTGGTGGACATTCCCTGTGTATTCCTGTTCACTTTCTTTTTGCATTTCTTTGTGCAGGTCTGAGTTTCCCTCTGGTGTTATTTTCCTTCAGCTGGAAGAGTCTCCATTAACATTTCTTATAGACCTGGTATTCCGGCAAGAAATTCTTTCAGTTTTTGTTAGCCTAAAAATGGCTTTACTTCACCCTCCATTTCTTGCTAGATATAAAATGCTAGGTCAGCAGGGGATTTTGTGATGGTTGTTTTTCTTCCAGCATTTAGAGATGTCATTCTCCTTTCTTCTGTTTTCCACTATTTCTACTGAGAAATCAGCGATAATTCTTATCTTTGTTCTCTAATATGTACTGTGTCTTTTTTCCTCTGGTAGTCTTTGAGATTTTCTTTACGCCACTCTTTTTTTATGCAATTTGATTGTGATGTCTCTTGGAATTTGTTTGTTTTTTGTTGGTACGTGTCTGTCTGTGTGTCTCTGTGTGTGTATCTTGTGTAGGGCTTCTGAGCTTCCTGGATCCACGGGTTTATAATTGTATTAGGTTCGGAAAATTTTCAGCCACTATTGCTTCAAATATTTTTCTCACCCACTTGGGCCCCAGACAAGTATACGCTCACCCACTTTGTATTGTCACACAAGTCACTGAGGTTGTCATTTGTCAGCCTTTTTCCCTTGAGTCTCCATCTTTTTTCTCTTGGGTCTTCAGCGTGGACACTTTCTATCGCTGTGTCTTCAAGTTCACCGACCTTTTCTTCTTCAGGGTCTCATCTGATTTAAGCCCATGCAGGGAGTTTTTCGTTTCAGATGTTCTATGTTCTACCTCTAGAAGTTCTATTTGGTTCTTTCTTTTTTTGTATCTTCCATTCCTCACTGCACTGTGTTCATCTTTTCCTTTAAGTCCTTGAACATATTTACAACAGCTATTGTAACATCCTCATCTGTTAACTTCATCGTCTGTCATTTATGAGACTCTTTCTATGGACTGATGTTTCTTCCTGGGCACAGGAAGCACATTCCTGCTTCTCTGTATATCGAATAACTTTTCATTGGGTGCTGCATGTTGTAAATGATGGGTTGGTGACAGCCTGGTGTTTTGGTCTTCCTTTAAAGACGTTGAGTTTGTTTTGTTAGCCGATTATTTTATTGGCGGATCCTTGTTTTAAAGCTTTTTCAGGGTGAGTCTGGAGTAGCTTTAGCTGGCACTTGTTTCTCCCTGACACAAAGGCGTACTTTTCTGGGGTCTCTACTAACGCCTTTTGTATTTAGCAAGGAATCTCCACCCTGTCTGGTTGGGACTTGAATGTCTCCCACCTCCAAATTAACTCTCAGGATTGCTCAGCTCAGAGTGTCAAGTCATTTCTTCCCAAGTAGTTTTCAGAGTCCTGCATTGCCTCTTATCCAACATCTGAAAGGAGTCGATTTATGTATTTTGCCCAGATTTGCAGTTGCTTATGATGAGAGATAAATGTGAGACTAGCTACTTTATCATGACTGGAAGAGTATTTCCCATCATCTATAGCTTTTAAAAGTGTCTCAGAATGGAGAACACTAGTTCTTCATTCTCTTCTTTCAGAACACTGGAGAACGGTGAGTGTGTTGCAGGAGACAATCTCGTGCATATTTGCATTGATTTTGTTGCATTTGTCTTTACAGATTTTCTTTTTCTCTTTTTTATTAAAATGTTTTATTTGTGAGCACAACCATAATTGGGTGGAGAATAACCACTCTGAAAGAGCATAGGTGGACTTTATTGAATAATTAATGACAAGAAACTCCCTTTTTATGTCATTTTACACTATATATATGTGTATATATATACATACGTATTTTTATTTATATAAATATAGTATTTATAAAAATAAAATGTAATATTTTTATTACTTATATAAGTGTAGTATTTAGAGAAATAACCTCAAATATGATAAAAGCATGCTAAAACTAATATTTACTAGAACATCACTCATATCTGTTTTAATGATATGTAGTGTTTTTTGGCAGAGGGGAATGTAAATTTTGAGGCATAATAATCCATTAAAAATGACATGTTCAACTTATAAGCAATTTCCCAGATGAGTTTTTTTAAGGAATAAATTAGGTTAGGAGAATATAATGCCAGAAACCCAGATATTCATAGGGTTCGGTCTTGCTCATCCAACTAGGTTATTGATCTTGATAACGCATCATGGGACTTACAGTTTGTAAACTGTATAAAAGTTTATAAACAGTCATTTTCTCTAAGTCCTCCAAATGAAGGGTCACAGACAAAACCTGAAAAAGCATCCGATGTACCTTTATAGCTTTGAGTTATTGGCACAATGTGATTGAGTAACACCTCCTACATTGTTAAGCGAGTCATTGACAAAATACATTGAGTCCTGCGATCTCCTTCCACGTCGACACTGTGGCACAGAAATATATGCTTTGGTTACATTTCAAAACTTAATCAAACGTATGTACTCTGGGAGATTTCCCAACAATATTAGGATTGCCCAAACAGTCTGTAAACTAGGTAAGAAAATGAATATCACCGCGTAATTATTGGGCCTCATATTTTATGAAGTACAGCAAAATATATATATATTTTATTGCAATTTGCAAGCCATACCAAAATCCCAGTCTGGATAGGAGACTCTGAGCTGGATAGCCAAGCCAGAATTTGTTCTCAGCGAGAAAAACGTTCTGTGAGATACCTGGTCACGGAAGGTGAATTTTGCATGAACAGGGATGGCAGAGGGGGTCTGCTTTTCTGACTTGTTTTTTCTATCATTGAGCTCGTGAGATCAATAAGGCAGTATTGCTTCACGGCCTCTGCCAGCTCCTGGGGCTTTCTCATCTGTGTAGAGCTCCACTTCCCAAGGATACAGGCCAACTCAGTGGGAGAAAGGCATTCCCATCGAGATACTGGTTTAAGTATCTTGAGTGTCTCCTGACTCTAACCCATAAACATTTCAGATGCAAACTCACCAATTAAGAACTTAAGGATGGAGCCGAGAAGTCGAAGATTGACCTGGGACCTCAATGGAAATGTTACTGAAATTAAGTGTGTTGAAAATCCAAATTATCCCATAAAGGTAAGCCATATTCGCTGTGTGTAGCGTGGTACACATTTCCCTCTCTTTCAGTAATCTGACACCAGCAGAGTCCAAAGGTTAAGTCCGTCTCTGGCACCACAGAGACCCGGGTTCTGTAGAATGTGGGGTGACTTGATTGCAGGCAACCCCGTGGCTCAGGGTTCCTCATCTGTCAGACGCCTAAGATGGTACCCACATGAGACGATTGATGTGAAAATGGGCTGAGATACGGCAGGAAGACGACCAAGCCCGACCAAGAGGGCACGCTCAGAAATCACTGTTCCCCTCATCACCTGCCAACCCCCATCCGACTCCCCCGCTGTGTCCTTTCCTGGCTTCCGAGGTCTTGAGAACTGTGACAGATTGCATGGGCAAGCCGTGGTGGGAATCCAAACCACTTACAACTCAAAGTGCCTCATGAGGTAGAAGCATCCATCACTTCCTTCAGAATAAACTTGTTTCCTCAAATTACTCTTGATTTAACCCACCCCAAAACACAGCCCTGGATTGGTCTGCTAGAGCTGCCAGAATGAAGAATCCCAGACTGGGGTCTTAAACAACAGGAATTTATTCCTGGAGGCTGGAAGGCCAAGATCAATGGTTGGTTCCCCTGAGGCCTCTCTTCTTGGCGTGTAGATGCCGTCTTCTCCCCGTGTCCTCACAGGGTCGTCCCTCTGTGTGTCTGTGTCCTCATCTCCTCTTCTCATAAGGACACCAGTCCTATTGGATCAGGACCCACCCTCACGACCTCAGTTTACCTTCATCACCTCTTTAAAGACCCATCTCCAAATACAGCCCCATTGGAGGTTAGAATATCAACATACAAATTTCGGGGGACTCAATCCACTCCATGACAAACCCCAATGGGGTGTTCATGGAGCTTGGCAAGTTGACCCCACACTCTATCTGGAACAACAGTTGCTGAAGAAGAACCTAAGAGATTTAGATGAAGGCGGCTAGTGATCAGGGACTGACCCTCCCACATATCAAAATGGGCCGAGAAGCTTCAATCACCCTGTGGGTGAGTGTTGACATGAGAGTGGACAAATGAATTAAACGATAAATAGAGTAAAGATTATAGTTTAGAAACAGAAACAGGCATTTGGGGGAATTTTCTATGTCATTAAGATGAGATTTCAAATCAGTGGAGAGATGAGGGACTATTAATAAATGGTGCCAGTACAATATCCAGAAGGGACTAAAATTAAGTTGATGCCTACTTTACCCCATAAGCCAAGGGAAATTAAAAGCATTAAAGATCTAGATGTTTTTCTAACTGTTGAAGGAGTAGAAGAAAATACGCAGGACTCTTTCCAAATATCGGACTCTCTTGTGATTCCCTCGTCTGCCGCGTCCCCATGCTCACGAGGTGGGGGCCACAGCTAGCTCTCGTGAGGACAGGGACCACCCAGTTCTCAAGGTGGCTCCCCAGACACATCCCTTTCACCTTCTTGAACCCGATTCTGTTGCGGTATACCTCCACGTCTCTATATAACACGCTGGTGTCGCAAATTCTTGACTCTTTCAGTTTAGGCAAAATTTGTGGCTTTTCTCCTAAGGAACACGAGGCTTCGATCTCTGTTTCCTCTGCCTAACTCATCTCTCACGTGTTTCCCATCCTCCATTCGTTCTCCTTCTCCTCTCCCTCAATAAACACGTATTTATTTTCTTGTTTGTGATGCTAGTCACCACCGTGCCATGTGGTTAACTATGAATATTTTCCCCTTCCTGCACAAGTGTTTGTTTCTCCTGAATTTAACAATTTCCTTTTTGCGAATGGTCTTTATCTGTTTGCCCCATTTTTCTTATATCCATCACACTTTAACATCACACTCTGGGTCAAATGGCTACGTCGCCTTTGAAAACATTAAGGCATCCTGCAAAGTGTGTCCTAGGACCTTTGGGTCTCTTTCGCTTGGACTGGCGTCCTCCACCATGTCCATCCACGAAGGCCAGCGTCCTCGGGCTGACGGCTGGTCTCAGAGACAGTGCCCCGCAGAGCTAAGGCAGGAGGGGACAACATCATTTTGCCCCCATAGTTTGTCATTGTAAACTTTCTTTTAGATAAATTTTCAGAGCTGGATTCCTGGGACAAAAGATAGGGAATATGTGATGAGTCTTAACATGAATTATCTGAGAAAGCTTTATAGCAGCATCAAAAATGCACAAGAGTGCACATTTTCCCGAGCTTCAGACGCATTTCACAACCAGTCTGGGTGAATCTTTCGTAGATGTGGTTCACTCTACATGGCTCTCCTTTATTTCATGAAGACTCTGCCTACGAATCCGTCTGGGTCTTGGTGTTCTGTATTTATATTAATTTATTATATAATGCAGGTATGAAGCTAGAATATGTCATCATTTGGATCAACACTTTCCACTATGTTTTTCTTTAATCTTTGTTTCACAGAAGTTTTCACTTTTTTAAAACAATTTTTCCATCTTTTCCATTGCAATTCTTTTATCACTGTATTCTTAGAAAAAGCATCATCTCTCTCTATTAATACATAAATGGAATTATTTGTATACAACTTTTTCTATACTTTTTGTAAATTAATAAACTTCTTTTTTTTTTTTTTTGGTGAGGAAGATCAGCCCTGAGCTAACAACATGCCAATCCTCCTCTTTTTTTGCTGAGGAAGACTGGCCCTGGGCTAACATCGTGCCCATCTTCCTCTACTTTATATGGGACACCGCCACAGCATGGCTTGACAAGCGGTGCATTGGTGCACGCCCGGGATCCGAACCGGCGAACCCCAGGCCACCGCAGCGGAGCATGCGCACTTAACTGCTTGCACCACCGGGCCGGCCACTAAACTTCGTTTTTTAGAGCAATTTAAAGTTTACAGCTAAATTGAGAGGAAGGTACAGCGATTTCCCACATACTCCTGCCCCCCTCCCCAACATGCACAGCCTATCTCATTATAAACACCCCCACCAGGTGGTCCGTTTGTCACAGTTGATGAAACTACATGGACATGTCATCGTCACCCAGAGTCCGTAGTTTACATGAGGGTTCACTCTTGGCGTTGGACATTCTGTGGGTTTTGGCAAGTGCATAACCACATATTTCATACAGAAGAGTTTAACTGCCCTAAAAAAAATCCTGTGCTCTGCCTGTTCATCCCTCCCTCCTTCCTCCAACCCCTGGGAACCACTGATTTATTTACTGTTTCCAGCTTGTCTATATCCACAAAACAACTTGCTGGGATTTTGACAGGAATTGCATTGAATCTGTAGATCAACCTGGCAAGAACTATAGTTGGGTTTTTTAAAATTTATTTTATTGAGGTCATATCGGCTTATAACATTGTGTAATTTCAGATGTGCATCATTATATATCAGTTTCTGTGTAGACTGCATCGTGCTCACCACCAATAGTCTAGTTTTCATCCGTCACCATACACATGTGCCCCTTTACCCCTTTCACCCTCCAATCCCCTTCCCCTCTGGTAACCGGTAATCTGTTCTCCTTGTTCATGTGTAAGTTCATCTTCCACATATGACCGAAATCATGCGGGGTTTGTCTTTTTCTGTCTGGCTTATTTCACTTAGCATCATATCCTCAAGATGCATTGATGTTGTTGCAAATGGGGCGATTCTGTCTTTTTTATGGCTGAGTAGTATTCCATTGTATATACATATACCACATCTTCTTTATCCATTCATCCGTTGATGGGCACTTGAATTGCTTCCATGTCTTGGCTATTGTGAATAATGCTGCAATGAACATAGGGGTGCATAAGCCTCTTTGGATTGTCGATTTCATAGAACTGCAGTTTTTTAAAGAAACCTAAATATTATCAATATCTGACTAGGTCTGTTCTCTAAACAACTAATCAATGACCCTATCCATCTTAGGCAAAAAACAACCGCTATTGTGAGTTTCGTGCGCTTCCCTCATGCAAAGCAAAGAACTACACGGTCAACGTCACCAGCGGTCAGAGCTTCTCGACGTCGATTTTGTACCCCGAGCAAGGTGACGGAAAACGCTCTTTCTGGGTTTGCTTTGGTGTCAGTCATCCGTGCGTCTTCTCAGTATGAAAGTAATTACTTTTAACTCGGCCGGATCTGCAGGGACGCGCACCGAGTGAGAAATACACACACCGAGAGAGGCGTGTGCCGTGTGATTTTATTCCTGTGACCTTCTTGAGGTGATAAGTCCGTAGAAATGGAAGACAGATGGGTGGTTGGCAGGGCTGGGGGCGGGAGGGGAGTGGGTGAGGTTATAAAGGATGGGGGATCCACATGGGGGATGCAAATGTCCTGTATGTTGCATGTATGTGTGTCAACTTCCTGGTTAAGAGATGGTCCTACCGTTTTGCGAGGTGCCATCATTGGGGACATTCCATAAAGGGGACGTGGGATGTCTCTGTCTTATTTCTTGCAACGGTGTGTGAATTCACAAGGATCTCCATCATAACGTCGCCCTAGAAAGGGACTCCTTTTTCTTTCCTCTTCTTTGCAAGCCCAGAAGGGAAGCCTGGGGCAGCTGCCGAGAACCTGAAGTGCTGGGTTCACGACGTGGATTTCCTGACGTGCAGCTGGACGGTGGGCAGGGAGGCCCCCAGCGACGTCCAGTATCGCCTCTACGTGGAGGACCTGAAGTAAGTGTGGCCTCGGGCGCGGCCGGGCTCTCCCGGGCTCGGGGGAGAGCCCGGGTCACTCCTGGCCGTGCCTACTCGCTGCAGGACCCACGAGGAGTGGCAGTGTGCACGTTACAGAGCGGACGAGCGGGGGACACACACCTGGTGTCATTTCGATGACGTCTCCAGATTCTCTGACCATTTCTACCGGTTCTTGGTGAATGGCACCAGCCGAGGCTCCAGAATCCCCTGCTCTGAGATTTTTGAAGAATTATCGGAAATTGGTGAGTGACGACTGGGGACACTTCCCTCACGTTCCCAACCTTGGTTATGAGATGCTGCTGCTGTCTCGGCTCGGCAGCTGTAACAAAATACCCGAGACGGGGCGGCTGCAACAACAGACACCCTCGTGACCTCGTCTAACCCCAGTCGCCCCCCAGAGGCCCCACCTCCTCACACCATCCCACTGGGGGTCAGGGCTTCCACATGTGAATTTGCGGGACCCGCGTATTTAGCTCGTAGCAGCTGCTCTGTGTTCAAGCCCCTAAGGAAGTCACCTCCTTGCATTTAGAGTATTTCCATCTCACACGTAGAGGATGGCCGCACAGCCCCCTTTGGGGCTGGACTCACCATGAGGCTGGGGGAGCCCCTCCCAGGGCCCTGTGTTCACATGACGATGGGATTTTATAACACAAAACCCTCTTAGAAAACTATGTTGGTATTATTTTCTGTAACTAGACCCTCCCCCCAAACTGTGACAGCTTCAAGCCCCACAAAACCAGGCCCAGCCCCAGCCGGTCCACATGGAGTAAGGAAGCTCATCGCTGACTACTGAATTGAGAGGCTGGTGCAGAGGAAAAGTGTGGGGCCTCTTGCTTAAAAAGCTTGAGGGGACTTCTCCTTGGTCCGTGGTCTCCACTCTTGAGCTGACCTGCTGTGTTTCATTTGCGTCCGTGTGAAGCTGAGATCCCTCAGACACGGGAGCTCACTGGAAGTACAGACCCACAGTTTGAGGGTCTGCCTGCGACTCAGTGCATGCTCCCACCTCGGCCGCCCCGGCTCCCACGCCCCGGCTCCCAGCAGGGGTGGGGGTGACAGCGGTCACCGGGGCAGTGGGTGTCCGAGAGCCCATGGGGAGGTGGCACCTCATGAGCTGAGGCTCCAGACCCCCAGTGCATGCCCCATTTTCCCATCAGGCTTCACAAAAGAAAACACAGAGGCAAAGACACTTGTTGTGGGTAGAACTGTGTCCCCCAAAATGATCTGTGCACATCCTGGCTCCTGTGACTGCAACCTTATGAGGAAGTGGAGTGTATACATATGTGATAGGTTGGGTCCTAATCCACTATGACAGCTGTCTTTATAAGAAGAAGAAAAGAGACAGTGAGGCAGACACACAGAGAGAGGACAAGGCCATGGGGAGATGGAGGCAGAGATCAGGGTTATGGGTCTACAGCCACCAAGGATGGCCAGAAGTGACCAGACACACAGAGAGAGGAGAAAGCCTTGGGGAGATAGAGGTAGAGACATGGGTGATGGGTCTACAGCCAAGGAGCACCAAGGATAGACAGTGGCCACCAGACACACAGAGAGAGGAGAAAGCCTTGGGGAGATAGAGGTAGAGACATGGGTGATGGGTCTACAGCCAAGGAGCACCAAGGATAGACAGTGGCCACCAGACACACAGAGAGAGGAGAAAGCCGTGGGCAGATGGAGGTAGAGACATGGGTAATGGGTCTACACCCACCAAGGATGGCCAATAGCCACCAGACACACAGAGCGGAGAAGGCCGTGGGCAGATGCAGGTAGAGACATGGGTGATGGGTCTACAGCCAAGGAGCACTAAGGATGGCCAGGGGCCACCAGACACACAGAGAGAGGAGAAGGCCATGGGCAGATGGAGGTAGAGACATGGGTGATGGGTCTACAGTCAAGGAGCATGAAGGATGGCCAGTAGCCATCAGACACACAGAGAAGAGAAGGCCATGGGGACATGAAGGTAGAGACATGGGTGATGGGTCTACAGCCAAGGAGCATGAAGGATGGCCAGTGGCCACCAAACACACAGAAAGAGGAGAAGGCCCTGGGCAGATGGAGGTAGAGATGTGGGTGATGGGCCTACAGCCAAGGAGCACCAAGGATGGCCAGTGGCCACCAGACACACAGAGAGAGGAGAAGGCCATGGGCAGATGGAGGCAGAGACATGGGTGATGGGGCTACAGCCAAGGAGC